AAGGCTGTTTACTCACTTGAGAGGGGGTGGGGTGGGGGAAGGTATGTAAAGCCTCTGAGGACAGGAGTAAATTCCTAAGATGACCAGGACGGAAAGGCAGAGCCAAGTTCAGAGGAAAGAGAGGTAGGGGTCAGGTGAACTAGACCTGTCAGAGGCGGTTTCAAAAGGGAGCTGGGCAGGCAGGCCATCTGATCGGCAGCGAGGGTGGCCTGCACAGAGGTGCGGGCAGGGCTGGTAAGGGAGGCCCTGGAGCCCAATGTAGGCGGGGATGAATGAAGACAATTGCAAGGTCAGAAAGGCCTGGACAACCAGACTCGGGAACGTGAACTTGATTTTCTAAGCAATCCAGAGACGCTTTAAGACAGAATTCTGGACATGCACACTCTGTGTTGTGCAGAGTGTACAGGCTGAAAGGGAGCACATGAACAAATGCAATCCAGCGCCAGAAACAGACCTGAGAAAGCTCTAAGGCCGAGCTTCCCCTGCGCCCATGAGTGCTGGGATTCACTCACCACCACAGCGCCCGTGCTTCATGTCTCAGTTACAATAACTAAACTCTTATTATTACTCACCCACCTACCCCGTGCCAAGAGATGTAAATCTTATCTTGAATTCCATGTAAGGTCAACACGATTATGCCCACTTACAGACCAGAGAAATCAAGGCCAGGAAGGTCAGGTAACCTGGCCAAGCTCCCACAGGGGGGAGGGATAAGGGGACTCCCAGAGGCCACATCTTTTTTCCTTTTGGGATGGGGTGCTTTTCCCTCCGCCCAGGGGCCTTTTGGCATGAGGAAGTCTTGCCAAGATTAATCTAGACCTCACGGGTTACTCATTCTTGAAATGTTTCCTGCAAATTAATGACATGAAAATGTTACGTAGCAATTACCCTGAAAGCAAAATTTTGAAAACCCATTAACCAAAAGGTAGCCTCGCCTACAAATCTCAACAGAAGAGCACCTCCCAGGCTCGTGTCCTTACAGGTGACCCCACTTAAAGCCAGCAGAGCTGGAAAAGCAAACACTCTGCTTGCTCCCTTCAGCGCTCTGGTTGATATGAAGGCCCTGCCCAGGCTGGTTTGTGCCTGATTTTGTAGAGGCCACATGATAGGCGGGGAGCAGCCCTTCCTGCAGCCCTAGCCAGGGAGATCAGGGCTCCCTGCTGGCAACAACTGTCTTGCTCGAAGCTGCTCCCGGGGCTTTGCTGTTCCCAATGTGACAGGGGCCAAAAAATGTACTTGACAATAGAAATCATTGAGGGTGCGCAAAAAAGGCAAGACACTGTAACTCCACTGTGAGAAAAGGCACATGCTCTGATTCTATTATACAGTCGTCAAAAGGGTGGGCTTCAGGATTTGGTGAGGCAAGGCAGTCCTCAGCACTTCCCTTTTGCCTGGGAGAGATGATTTGAGGGGAGGGAAGGAGCTGCCAAAAATAACAGTCTTCATTTTTTTTTTAAACCAAAACAAGGAATATCAATAAGCTCTAAAACCAAACAAAATAAAATGCTATGAAAAAATAGGCTCAAACACTCTTAGCACCTTAAAAAGCTCGTTAACCCCAGTAACAACCAAACCCAAACTGAGTGTTCAGGAGGAAAAAGGCGTTTCCACTGAACCTCTTTCGAGTTGAGTTTGTTCCAACCTGGAGTGAACCAGGCTGTAAGAAATAGTGGAAAACATTCTAGTTGTACCTAACAATTTATCCCTTAAAACATTCATACCTGCTTCCTGTATCTGGATGTCTCAGTATATTTGTGTACATTTTACATATTTATTCTGAAAAACCAAAGCGTTTGTATGTCCCATTAATAATCCTCAAAAGAGCTTTTGCTTGAACAGCCATTGTGCCACTCCTATTCCTAGAATGGAAAACAGAAAAGTCAAGCTCATGTATGAGTTCAACTGGTAGGTGCTTACTGGCCTTCCAGTGTTCTCAGCACTGTACTTGGCCCTGGGGACATGGGAACAGCGTCCACTTCAAAATATCAACAACACATTTGCACAGTAGTCTGGCCACTGTGCTGGTTGAGACTTTTCTGCTATTTTTTTTAATTGCTTTGGTTACAGACATAGCAAAACCTAGTTGCTGCCTAAAGTAAACTTTTTAACAACTTACCTCCAAATGCTAAAGAAAACACACCTAGTTTTCCCAGAAGTGTGCACACAATTTACTTGAGAGTAGCCATAAATATCTAAAGGCAGACCATGAAGAAACAAACTCTATTAGGGAGTGTGGGGTGCTCAGTGTCTCCAATCCCGGGGTACACTTTGAAGTCAGTAGCCATCAGCTGAGGGGCGCGCTGAGCTGGCCGGCAGGAAGTTATAGGTGTCTGCTGCTACTTACAGCAGAAACTCCAAGGCAAGAGGGCTGTGCATGCAACACGCACGAGAATTCATTCCACGAGGCAACTGCTACGTGGGTACAGCTCAGTGGTTCTCAAGTGGCGGTGATTTTGCTCCCCATAGCTCATCTGGCAATGTCCGCAGACATTTTAGTTGTCACAACTTGGGGGCTCTACTAGCATCTAGAGGCCAGGGATGCTGCTCAACACCCTATATGGCACAGAACAGTCCCCCTAAAACAAAGAATGAACTGGCCCAAAATGACACTGGCACCCAGTTTGAGAAACCCTGACCCTGCTCTGAGTAACAGCTGCAAGTCCCAGGTAACTCCTATTTCCTTATTCTTTGGCCAGTCATACATGAAGCTAATACATATAACATTTCCTTCAACGTTTTGTTCTCAACCGTTAGCATTAGCTTCAAATTGCTGTCCGACAAGCAACAAGTCATTATGCCCAAATCGCAATGGGAAAAATTACCAAAGAACAGGACACCACTTAGTGATACGGAGGCCCTCCAATTTTGCTGTCCTTGGATATATCACTTCCACACTTATTGTTTCTACTCTCACAAGACATAGCAAGATTTTCTTCACTGGACAGTTTAACAAAAGGAGGCTCTGTTATAAAACACTAAACAGAGAGACTACGTTAGGAGTTTGTTTTCAATTAATACAGCAATGTGTGGCCACCGTCATTGGCCCCACTGGCCTCCACCTGAGGGCAGAATGTTGAAGGCTGATTAGAAATACACCAAATTAAAAATATAATTTCAAATAAATGAAAATATCCTCAAAATGAACATTTCCACCAGCAACAGAGGGGAAAGGCTCTGGATTCTACAACAAGCTCTTCATCCTTGGGCAAGTGACTTAATCTTTGACTTAAAATGCTTCGACTAGGAAATGAAGGGAATGGATGATCACTAAAAGACAACTTCACTATTATATCATTGAAATAAAATCCAACAACCAGGTTACCTTACACTGAACCAAGGTCACTCTAGTGTAAGGAAAAAGTTTTTCAACCAGAAAATGTGAGAGGCATCTGTCCCACGTTATCCTGAAGTTCCCCCCACTTGCACTAGGGGGCAGAGTTCTTCCCAAGGGGAGGCCACAGACCCCCTGTGGTCCAGACAGGCTTCATGGAGACCAGGATCCCAAAAAACTCAACACAAATTCTATGTCCCATCCTATCTCTTAAGGGACCCAGAATACACAAAAGCAAAATAAAGCCAATAAAAGTTAAGAATTAGTGTCCTGCAGGCACAGCCTAGGTTTTCCAACAGATAAAAGCCCACTGGTCTTTCATCATGGCTTAATCTGCAATCCTGCAAAAAGTTCTCGTGCCTTCTTGCAGGCATGAAGTTCTACGGATTAGAAAATGCTACAGTCTCACATTTACAGATTTCATTCTTTAAAAACAGGTAAAAATACATATTAATGGATGATTAATTCCTTTCCAGCCCACATCTCACAGAGAATATGGGTATCACATGTGAGATGCCACTATGAAAAAAACTGGGTATTACTATTGCACAGGAATACATTTATCACTTAGGCCATTATAAATAGTTGTTTAAGTGGGCATCCCGAAAGCAGAATGACTTGAAATATTATATCCAATTAAGTCTGAAAAAGCAAGTTAGGGAACACAAATGCAACCCCTCACCAATCTAATGGGCAGGAACATTCCAAAACTGTCCTGGCTTCACAAAACACCCCCTGGCTCTCAATGAAAGTCACATCTGACTCCCTGAAGTCAACTAAGTTTACGTTGAGCCACTTCAAACCTCAAACTTAAACAGAACTCATTAAATAAACACAACCAAGAAAGGAAAGGGAGCCAGGAAACTACAGTAACTCTGGACCCCAGGGGGAGAGAAAGGGGAGAGGGTTCTCCAGTCAAGGATTTCAAGTCACTGTGGTGTCCCGCCCTCAAGGAACCTAAAAGGGGCATCGGTTTAACCTGTTTAAATAGCCATTGTCTGCCCTAAACGATTTTCTTTACATTCAAATTCAAAATCTGCCCAGGGCAGTCCGCACAGATACCTGATCTTTCGATCCAGCATCTGGAAGGACCTCAAACCCTACTGAGCGCTTCTCGGGGAGAACTACAGGTCCCACACCAAAGGTCCAGCGGGCAGAGAGCACGGTGAGTGATTAAACGCGCCTTTCCCGCTCACACTCCATCACAGCCGGCTCCCCTGGAAGTGTGTGCACCCCTCGCACAGGAAGCCGGCTCGTTTTGCAAAGGAAATACCAGACCTTTCTTGGAGAAAGGCACGTCCCGGTGGAACATTTTACTGGGCTTCCTGCACCCAGGTAGTCGGGCAAGCAGAAGTCCTGGCCAGGCCCGGGCGCCCGCCGCGGGGACACCGGTGAGCCGGCTACCCACGCAGAAGGAAGCTCACCTTCCCTACTCCCGGGGCAAAGGGGAAGCGCGGGGCCAAGCAAAACCTGCCTCGGCTTACTCATCCCGAGGCTCCCCCGGGGGGTGAGGGGGTGATTTCAGGCGATTCACGGGAAGTGTCGCCCTCCAGGGTTTAGGGAAAGGTACCGGGCGGGCGCCCGGCGCGGTGGGCAGACCCCTCCTCCGGGGCACCGAGGCCAGGTCCGGGCAGGAAGGGAGCCCGCGCGGGGCGGCGAGCGCACTCACCTCGGGGAAGAAGTTGTCCATTGTTCCAGTGCGTTCCCCGACTTGCCCGAGTCGGGTGTCCAGCTCGAAGAAGTCAGCCCAGCGGAAGGTCCGGGGAAGGAACCATGCATGTCACGGCGCGACTTCCAGGAACTCGAGCCCTAGGGGCTCTCCCGTGGCCATCGCCTGACCCCCGGCTCGCCTTTCGCACCTTTTGTTTGCTCAGACCCAATTCTCGAACTCCTCCGTCCCCAGCGCAGCCTTTGTCTCCTCTTCCTCCAAGTTCTTCACTTCTGGGCGCAGCGCACGCGAGCGGAGAACAGCTGGTGGCACATTCTTCCCCGGGGCTAGGGAGAGCGGCGGGGGGCTGGGGAGCGCTCCCCCTCCCTCTGAGCTGGGGCCCGAGGCACTGGGCGCCGGCACCGGGACAGCGGCCACAGGGCGAGCCCGGAGTCGTTCTCCCCGTGCGAGCGCCGCCGCGGTAAGTATTCGGGCGCCGCGGCTCAGCCGGCTCGGCGAGGCTCAGGGACTTGCCGACGGGAGCACACGCCCCGCCCCGATCCGCTCGCCAGGCCACGCCCACTCGCCCGCGTCGCCCCGCCCCCCTCCAGGAGCCCAGCCCGGAGCCAACCCCGCCCCGCGCTTCCGCAGGGTCCCGAGCAGCCCGGCGGCGCGCCCCGCCCCACCCAGGCCCCGCCCACTCCGCGCCGGGCTGCTCCAGGCTCTGCGGCGGGAGGGGAAGGCGGGTTCCAAGTGGCTCCACTCCGGTCCCCGCCTCCCCACCTAAAGGCTGGCGGGGGAGTTGACTCTTCGCTCTCGTGATAGAAACCAAATAGTCACCGGGGAGGAGGGGTTGAGAGATTCTTTTGTGCCTTTGATCTCCGGCAGACCCTGGAACCCGCTCAACACGGATCTCATTAATGCAGCTCGGCGGAGGAGCGACCCCGGGAAGGAAGCGCGGTCCGCGGAGCGGCCCCGGCTGTTGGGTCAGATCAAAGCGGTGAACTGAGGCTCATCAGAATTTCTGGAAGCTGCTTTCCCGTCTTGAGTTTCTCTCCTGCGGTCAGGCGAACAGACGTTTTCCTAGCCGCGGTGGAGGGGAAAGCAGTTTTGTAAACTGGAAGAGGGCGTGGCCAATTGCACCTTTAAAAAACGTAACCTTGTCCTGGGACCTAAAGGAAACAGAGATAAGAAATCGGATGGATAAAGGATCAAACCCACCAGGTACGGACGGAGTCCTGGTTTCCTCTATGGCAGGTCCTCAAACTTTAGCGTTCACAGGACTCACTTGGAAAATTTGTTAAAATGCAGGTTGGAGTTCAGTGGGGTGAGCGCTGACCATCTGTGTTTCTAACAGGACCTCAGAGGGTGGCACCTGGACCTGTGCAGATCTGCACACTGAAGCCTGTCTGTCACAGGTAGAGAAATGCAGAACCGAGGTTTAGAAACTTTTGTAACGATTTTAAAATGCCACGACATCCAAGCGCCTGATCGTTGGACTCTTTGAACCGAATATAAACCAGTTCTGGTGTTGTCAGACTGCATGGTGAGTCATATACCTGGCACAGCAGGGATCGCCTATTGGTTCCTAGCAGATCGTTGACAAAAATGACTGGTTCTTCACAAGTAGTTTGAAACGCGCTCTCTGGGATTTGCCAACTCATGCTTTAAAACTCAAGCCAGCAAGTCACATCTTCCAGAGGAAGCCTCCCCGGAGATGCCAAGCCACTCACCCTGCTTCCAGCCCCACCGAGACATGGGTGTGGCTTATTTCTAAGACTATTGAAGAAACTACATCATATTGTAAGGGGCTTTTTATTGCTGTCCTACTCATCTTCAGTTCGGAAAATGGAAGCTCCTTAAGAAAGGGAACTGCGCTTTAAAATTTGCATCCCTGTCTTTCTCAAAGAATGAATGAACCCTTGTGTGAAACTCCAAGCATGTTTATAACCCTTCTCAGAGCCGTTCTCCAGCATTAATATTTATTCAGCCCACCCCCCTGTGGAAAACGTCATGGTATAAATTTGTGATAGTGCACTATGCTGTTGCCCTGTTTCATAGACGCTTAAGCCAATAAAGACCGTGTCCCAGATTGAAGATCGAGCCAGGATAAATAACAGCAATCCCAGGCATCAAAGTGCTTACTCAAATGAGTCCTACTGCCACCTGTGTTCAAGTATGGGAGCAGAACAATTACAGTCATTATGGTATTATTAATCTGTACAGAACATCTTCCAAGAGAAATTACCAGGCAGCTTGTTCAAGTGGGTGTGTGGGTGGGGCGTGGATCCCAGCAGCAGCCCAGGCACTGAGTAATGTATTGGGTTGTCTTGGCCAAGACGCTTTCCAATATTGGCTCATCAATTGTAACAACTTACCACACTAATACAACATGTTAGTAATAGAGGAAGCTAGGGAAAGGGGCAGTGAGGGAGTAGATGGACACATTCCCCTCCATTTTTAAAAAAATATATTTTATTGATTTTTTACAGAGAGGAAGGGAGAGGGATAGAGAGTTAGAAACATCAATGAGAGAGAAACATCTATCAGCTGCCTCCTGCACACCTCTCACTGGGGATGTGCCCGCAACCAAGGTACATGCCCTCGGCCGGAATTGAACCTGGGACCTTTCAGTCCGCAGGCCAACGCTCTATCCACTGAGCCAAACCGGTCAGGGCATTCCCCTCCATTTTTATGTAAACCTAAAACTGCTCTAAAAATAAAGTCTAAGTTTTTAAAAGTCACATTTCTGTTGTTTAAGAAGATATAGTTAATTACCCCCCCCCCAACTTGACTCATATGAAGAATATGAGCCAGATCCAATCCATAAGGGTTGAATTTTACTAACTTATTATAATTAAAAAGTTTCTCTCACCTGGGACTGTTAAAAAAAAAAAAAAAGAAGAAGAAGCTTGTTTCTTAATCTCAGGTGTGGGCTGAGTGCTTAAAAATCTGAATGTTAGTAAGCACCCAACTAGGCAATTCTCAGTGTGAGAATCGCTGCTTTAAGGTTGTCAGAATTCATCAGATTTTCCTCATAAATGTACATTCTCAAAGAGGTGTAAAGATAAACTGAACAGTTAGGCTATTTGCTGAATAAACAGCAAAGGTCGTGAATATATATATATATATATATATATATATATATATATATATATATATATATTCTTTCTAAATAGGATATCCAACTTCCATGTATTTGGGGTTGAATCCGGTGTTTAAAAGGACTCTTACATTTACAAGGGCTTTGACAAAATTGGGCAAAAATGGGGAAGCATTTTAAATCCATAGATTTCTAAGAATATCCACTTTTGTTACCATTTTTAAAAAGTTAAGTGTTTCCTTTCAAGGGTCTGTGGAACCCTTTGGTCAAAGCTGTTTGGGCTAAAACAGTTAAACCCTGCCTTCCGACAAGTAACAGAGGCTCAGGAATGTTAATGCTCTGAGCCAAAGCTCCTTCCCAGTCACCCTACTTATTTCTCAAAGACACCATGCGAATGGAGTGCTATATTTTCAAATTAAAACATCAATAAAGCTCAAACAACATTCTCTTATTTAGCTGCACAAATTAATCCACAATTGACAAAACTTTATCTTAATATAGGTGGGACCATTTTGCCACTCTAAAGGAGGATTATGTATGCATATGTGTGAGTGAAGTACTACAATGGTCCTGTTTTGTTTTCCACCCAAGAGTTTGTTTTTAGTTGAAATGGGTTGTCTTAACTTCCTTTGTGATTTCAAATTGCTTTCTCTGCTGTTATTCTGTTGCTTTTTAGCAGCTCTTAATCTGGGTGTGTGTAGTGTGGAGCGGCTTTTCCATTACCTTTGTTTTTATAAAACACTCACCTCTAATTGCTCCAATCAGAGTAATGGTTTAATTAGTAGTTACGGAAAGGGAAAGTTCTAGAAGTTTCTTTCACACAAATTAGAGGTTAATAACTGACACAACTGTAAGATACTGTTCTTCGTGTTTAACTAAACAACATTTCCTCCTTTCGGGTCACTTATAGTCCTGGATGTTTAAAAATCCACGCGTGTTTGTCTTTTTGAACAAACAAAAATTAAGGGAATTTTTAAATTAAGGGAATTTTAAACATTTGCAGACAAGTGTTTCTTTTATTTCTCATAAGGTGCAATTCAAAAATCCGGAAGGACATTTTTCTCCATGTGAAACTGCAATGGTGAAAGATTTCTATAAAAAGAATAAAATTGAGGAGGGGGGATACTTGAAATGCTCCACCTTGTAATCGAATTAAACAAGTACAAAAGTACAGAAATAAAGCAAGGCTAAGACACCCAACAAAACTAATTTGTTAGCAGTCATTTTTCTAAACGAGATGGGCGAGGGCACTCAGTGGACAGTCGATTCTGACTAAATCCCAATCACTTCAAAACCGCAGGAATGCTTTCTAAATTGGGAACCCACACAAACACCGAGAGTTGTTTTCATAAATTAATCCATTTCCATTTAAAGCGGTTAGTCCGGTCTTGCTGATTGTGATAAACAAATGGTATAATTCCTGGGAACACTCGGTGATGGTCTATTCTGCCCCAGTGGACTGTTGCTTCCCCATTTCCTTGTATCTTCATGCTCCCATCTTTTCTTACAGTGGCTCTGAGGCTGACTCTCCAGTGTTACCCTCTCTCCACCTCTGTTGTTGCTGTTGATAATGCTAATGTTTACCACTTCCGAACCTTGTGCCCTCACATATTCCTCCCCCTTCCTGAATCTTTCTGCTCACATTATCCAAGCATGTGATTGTGTGTATTTGACTTGAAAATAGCTGTTTTTTAACCTAATTGCTCCCTGAACTGTTAAGCCATCTCTTTTCGAACCCCTAGCTTTTCACTGTCTACAATTCATCTCTAAACAATCAACTCCAACGCCTTACAATGGGATTTTTGCCCTTCATCCCACTCTCTTGAAGATGGCCATGACCTCAAAATAATCAAGTTCAATAGCCTGTTCTCAAATTTCATCCTCCTTGACATTACCCCTCTTGTGAAACTCTCTAACATCTTAGTTTCCAGGGCCAACTTCACTGTTGTGCCACCTGCAGAGTTAGTTGCACAGGCTCAGAAGGGGCCCTGTTCTTGGTTTTGCCGTCATAAAATTCTTGCTGATTTTTAAACAAAGGACCTTGCTTTTTTTCCCTTCTGCACTGGGTCCCGAAAATTATGTAGCCATTCTGACCTAGCTTTTCTCACACTGCATTGGTCTGGTCCTCCCACCTCTTTGACCTGTTTCTCTGCCACTTTTACAGGCTCCTCTCTCCCTCCAGCCTCCAAAATGTGATCATTCCAAAGCATGCATTTTAAATCTCTACCCCACTCTGACATTCTCAGTGTTACATTAATTCTCAGTATTTCCACTGCCGTCTCTTCATAATGATGTCCAAATCCATAACTCACGCTCTATGATGTCCCTTCCCCATATTTTCAACCATCTGTTGGATTTTTCCTAGTGAGGGTCTTCTCATCCTGTATATGCCCAAACTAAACCTTCTTTATTCTCCTCATCAACACCTACCAACTTTCCTA